AAGTTTTATCCTGATTTCTACATATAATAGGTAACACTTAAGTTGCTTTTTGACTTTTAATACTACCTATAATAGGTTATATAAAAATATTTATTAAATTATTTTATTTTTATACGTGTCCAACATAATGTTACAAATGTATATAGTACGATTCCAAGTTATAAGAAAAAAGAAAATATTTAAAAAAATGTAGACAATAAAAAATTAGATCGTAGAAAAAAACGATTGTACCACAAAGTTGTAAGGACACTGTATTATAGCAGTTACTATAGTAATAAAATAATTTTTATACATTTAGAATAAGTACCTACAAAACCCTAAAGTAAAATATGTTAATACTTGTAAGTTGTAAAAACCAAAAGTATACATTTAATCTTTAAAATTGACAACTGTTTGTATAATTAAAAACATCAATCACATTTTCCGAGTTTATTTCATTAAAATTTACAACTAGTTAATGCTACACTAGCGGTGTAATAAAACAACTTTTAAAGTGAAGTTAGTAATGTCGGTAATGTTACACATAGAGTATTAAGGTAATAAAAACTTTGTGTTATAAAAAACTACTGATGATTATTCTGTTTAAAGTTACCTACAGTTCTGAGTACCTAATTTTAAAATATTTAATGGGTTTGCCTTTGTGAACGTGTAAGATGGCGAGCCGGTAAAGTGGTCATTAGATTTATATAACTTTTTGCCGGGTGTGATAAATATATTTTGCAATTTAAATTCTTAGCAAAAAAAGAGCTAACTTTTTTAAAATTATGTTAGTGTTAACCTCAACAGACTTCGCATGAGAATTTCTTCAACTAATAACTCAAAAAAATTATATATTATTTTTTTTGTCTGTTACTATTTACCGTATAATGCAGCGATAATGACTACAATTTTAGCTTCGATGCGCAACTCGAGAGGAATTGTTTTTATTTTTTTGTATTTGGACCCATAATATTTTCTGAGTCGCTGAGCTGGTTTCTTTGAGTAGCCAATTTATTCATTCATCACATTCATTGATGCGTAGACAAAACAAAACAATTTTAAAAACCATTTCCTCTAGAAAACGTGGAGACATATTCTTTATTTTACTTACGAGCGTAGTTTTGGGCCTTGAGGTCTAACGGTAGATCTAGAGTATTGCTACAACACGTATGATTTTCTTGAAAATTATAATGTTATTTTTTTTACTAATCAAAACCCCCACGAAAAAAAACAAATTGACCGTATACAATTTTCAGCTTGGGTAAATGAATCAACAGTCAACAGGTTATAGGAAATATTTTTGTTATTTTTTCGATTTGCCTATTGGTAACAACTGCAACGAATTATCAGGAAATACAGTAGATCAGTCCTTATCGCATCCGTATCAGTATCCACCATAATACTAAAAATACAATTTTAAGTTTTTTAATATGTTTTTACAATGCTTTTCGATAATTACTTCTTTTACCGTCATAGTTCTTGATTTTTTTTTTTTTATAAAAAAACACAATTTTACTGGTAGGAACACTATTTTTGTCAATAATGGTATATTTGAAATTCTCTCGTCTCCAACAATGCGATGTCGTTGAACAGCATAATATATCCATCGATGGTCGAGGACATTGAAAGATATTAAAAAAAGAAAAACCCGGGGCTTTGCATACTACGTAATACGGATATTCACTGTCACATAATATAGTGAATATGTAATGTAATATGTTTTGGGCATACCGTCGTCGGCGTTATTGGAATTTACATACGGGCGACATGCCAAAAATTGTGCATGGGAGTTAGCGAGGGCGAGGTTGTCGTTCGCTGGAGACCGGAATTACACGGCCACTTTTCCTATGCCGCATGTACATAAATTGACAAACTGCTCTACGGTCACCGTGGAGATCTATATTCGCCAAAGGGTTTTTTTAAGGGGGCCGGGTTTCCCCTTAAATGTTGAAAACCGTCCAAGTGCGAACGTATAGACGTGGGTACACAACCTCGGCAAGTATGCCTGCGTTATAGTTTGGACATTTTAAGAAAAATATTGTTTTTTCCATAATATGGTTATGTAGTAATTATATTTACTAGCCTAGAAAAAAACAACATCATTGTAAATACAATACTTTCTCAGGACCGCATCGAAGTTAAAAAAAATCTGACAAGTCAGCTCGAAAATCAATAAAAAAAATCACATCTACAACAATAGACATCACTGAGAACATGGGGAGGAATACACGAGAGGACTGGAGGATACATATTATGTGAAATAGTTTTTAAAAAAATGTTTAGGTACCTAATGTGAGTATGTTAAATTAAATAGTAATAGTGAATCTCTGTGGTAAACAACTAAATTTTTGTGAGAGAAATTTATTTTATGCAAAAATTACAATACGTTTATGTGGGTTTTATATTATGAATGTGAGCGTAATACTATTAATATAATTGTTATTTAAAAAATAACACAACTCACACAACAACAAAAAAAAGAATTTATACTTGTTATGGCTGTCTGAAATGTAAAAATGAATATTATGTAAAAAATTAAAATTTCAATTTTATTTTTATTTCTAATAATAAAATATAAGAAAGAGTCCTCTTTATATTTAATCATGATTAAATTCTCTTGTTCAACATTCTTAATGTATTAAATTTGTCTCCCAAAAATAAAAAATGTTTTATTTCAACCATTAGGTTATTTTTTAAGTGCACTACCAATAAAATAAAGTTATTATGTTGAACGATATTTTTTTTTTAATTTATGTCATGAGAAAATGGTTTAAAATAATATTACCGGCAAGCATGTATTGAGAGAGAGGAAGATGAAGGGAGCATTTTAAAAAAGTTTATTGCACTTGAAAAATTAAACGAAGGTAAAAAATGTTTAGTTCTCAAAAAAAGTTTTAATTCGATTTCGATACATAGTTGTTGGTTATACATTGGCTCCTATTGGAATACATAATATTTAAAAAAAATAAATGTGGTTAATGGAAAAATGATAACACGATATAGATAAGTATTTGACATGAATTTATAAACAACAATGTTACAATAACTAATATATTAACGAAAATGAAAATAATTCCACGTAGTTGAAATGGCATTCGAAAATGTATAAATAATATAATATGTTAAATTGTTATTTTTTGGGGTTACCTTAGACTTTAGTCAATGAACTATAAAATATTTCTAAATTAATTTCCTGGTAATTGAGACATTTCCACGTTTGATAACTAAGTCCATAACTACTTTTAAGTATAAATATTAGTTACATGTTAAATTTGTACACTATTTTGTGAAATAGTTTTAAGAAATAAATTATTTTAAAATTTTGATTTTTAATAATTATTTATACGGTTAAAATAGTGTTATTCCCCTGTTTCTTTGTTTTTTCAATTACAAACACAAAAAAAGTAAACATAAATCTGGAAAATTACAAAACATATTTTTTTCGAATATTTTCGTGTGTTATTATATTATTGCATATTATAAAATTCAAATTAAATCTGAAGAGAGTCTCCGGAATAAAAGATACTATGAAATAAGGCGCTCATAAACATTTTACTTAAATTATTACGTAAAAACCAAGTATTGTGATTCATTTAAATTTTAAATAGTAGGTAGGTATGTACGTTTTAGATTTGTTATTAAAGTTGTTTAAACTGAAATAATATTCGGAATAAGAATTTTTTCCAATTTAACGTTAAAACTTATTTTTGTCTGTTGACATTTTCCGGAAAACGCAATTACCTATTTAAACTATATACATACATACAAGACATCTCTAATAAGTCTCAGTAAGTACTAAACGAATAAACTTTGGAACTGTGACAGCAGCCGGCGGCACTAAAGTGGTTACATGAGAAAAAGTAACCTGAATCGGCGGATTTATACAAATCACTTGTAAAAACTTTTTTTTTTGTATTTCGGCTTTTTACATCATGTTAAAACGTATACCTTTCGGGCACAAAAAAAAATATGATTTATTTTTATTCTCGACTCTGACCTAAACGTTGCATTTTTCATGGTAACATTGACTAAAATAAAACACTGAAACGGTTGAATTCAAACTATATAAGTATGACCATAAACTAAAATCACTAAAAAAATACCATCGTAAATTAAAGCAGCAATATATATATTTTTTTTAATACAAACAACCCAAAAACTTTAATGAACATTAATATGTACATGTAGCAACTGTGTTAGTTTAAGTAAACTCTTCATTACCTAAGTACACTTAATACCTAATTATTACTATTGCCTATTTTATAATATTTACCTAAATAAATAAAAACTCAGTACTAAGAAATGTTAATATATCGGCTGATATCGTTTCGAATCGAATAACTTATTGCTGTTTGTATATTTTTGTTTGAACATACTTATTACTTACTCAATATTACACAAAAAAAATCGGCAATTTCAATCAACAAACATCGCTTCTTTGTTAATCGAACATAAATTTTGTCTTTCCTATTATCACCATCGCCTAGTAATAATTTACTGGTTAGGAAAAAATTGATTATTAAAATTTTAAATACATATTATACTAATCACTATTATAACAAAATATCAATTCGCATTAGGTATTTGGATTTTAAAATGTCACTCTACAAAACAAACCTATGACCGTTTGGATGCCACACTTGACCGCTCAAAATGGAGTTGCTGCTGACATAATAAGAATTGTCGTGCATTTTATTTTATAACATTTAGAATTTTAGTTGAACCCTGAAGATAACGTTTTCTCGACTGTCAATCAGAATAGAAAATATAATATTAACATTCATAAGAAAAATCAAAAACTGTATAATTCTACCGAGTAATATTGCTTTTTAAATATTACTATGTTGATATTTTTTACCTAATCTCATTAGGGAAAAGTCTCGTAATTTGGCTACACTGAAATTGAACGTGGCCCACAGTCGTTATCAATGTTGACGACATAGATATATAATACAATGTATTATATGTCTATGGTTGACGATAATACGGTTTGCGATAACTGATAACAATATTATATCAATTTACGTGACAACTGAAAACAATTTTTTTTAATAATGATTTACTATGAAAAAATTAAAATGCAATAGGTATTTTAATAATTTTTACCTTATACAAAGTCTAGTTGGTTCTTAACAGAATTTCAGGTCAAAATACACAAAATGAATATTGGTATGTACAATATCGTATAATTTACTTCACATTTAAACGAATCCATAAAAATATTAAACTTAGTAGTATAGTTTATGTACATTTTGTTATTATTGTTTTTAGTTATTACCTACTTTGTGTTTTTAATAAACTAATAAGTTAGCAGAATAAGTGTCATGTTTACTGATAACAATGTAAGTAATTAATTTATAAACCTAGCAATGTAAACTACAAATGCTTAACTTTGTGTTGAATAGTGTTAAGTTAAATAACCTTTATAATTCACTTTTTTTTAAAGAACATCTTTTTAAAGAATAATTATTTTAATCTTACCATGACAATTTTATTAGATAGAAGTAAATTTTTAAAGTTAAAGATTTTTATCTGATGGTTTTGTTAAGTGCAATAAAATTAATTCTAGTAATATTTTCTACAAATTTGTAAGTCAATTTTATTGTTAATATACTTTTTAAATGCCTAACTTGAATGCAACCTTTAGATAATAAGTTCTATTAAACTTGAATAAATTAGTTAGTTGGCGGCAAAGACATAATTTTGAGATTATTAAATTTTATTATTACTTTTACAAATATACTTATTTTGCTGCTTTTAAAATAATTATTTAATTTTATTTGTATAGTTAATATTGTGTACGTTTACCAAAAGCGCTATTTATTATATTATATTATATTCTTGCTGCGACACTGAGCTGAGTTTATAATGGTTTTTTTTTTTTTGTTAATATTAATAAACTATTGTTATAAGGTAAAGTTTTGTTTTTTTAAATTACATTTTAATTTATATTATTTTTCAGAAGATACACATTTATTGGAGTTTTTGAAACTACTGTCAGAAACATGTGCCTATTCAGAACTTGAACGCTTATTCGGCATAGCGTTTGTGTTAACTATTGAAACTGGCTTTGTTCCAGCTTCTCTAAAGGAATGTTTCAACTCAATAAATTCAAATATTGAACTCGCCAGAACGGTCAACGACAAAGGATTGAATTCATGTTGGTATGAAAATAATAATGTTTTGACCGCTCAACTGATAATGTGCAACCAAGAATGTTATTTAACTGGTATTCCTACCGGCCATTCGTTAATTATTATTACATTAAGTACCTTCAACAATATCTCAAAATCTATAGTATTTCCAAATGGTGAACAATTTGTATTAGACAATCCTAGTGATTTTAACAAATTTGCAATAAAATTTAAAAACTTAGTCAGCGTTCCAGTCAAATGTGCCGTGTTGAACGAAACAGTTGGTCTGTATCCAGGTCTTTGCGGGCTTCCTGAAGAGTTAATACTTTATATCATGGATAAATTAGATTCCAAAAGTATTTACGCGTTTATGAGATGCTGTAAACAAACCAACGAATTGGCGACAAAAAATCAATGTTTATGGAAAAAATTAGTCATTAACGAATTTAAAGATTTGCCTATCAGCACTGGAAACTCGATAGAGCACACAACGATCGAATGGCGAAGTTTGTATTTTAAACTTAAAAGGGACAAGTGTGGTAGAAAAACTACAGTCATTATACGAGATTATACGTAAGCGTTACATTACGCATTTAAAAATATTACTTTTTGTTTACTTAACTTGGTGTTTTGAACTGAACTATGTACCTGTTATTGTTTTTACCATCTATATTTCTTGTACAGTGAAATGATAACTGATTTGTTACTATAATACATTAAAGAAAACAAATTATTAAAAAAGACATACCTGCTTAGCTTATGATTTACATACTGATTTAGTACTATATATTTTACCGTATTACTTACCTAATTACTTCTAAGTAGAGTGAATGCCAATAATCGATCCAGTCTTGAGTAAAGTAAAAATCAATGTTATTACACTATTAAACATTTACTAATTTATTTTTTCATATATAATATAATACATTGTTGCCAAAAAAGTCAATATTGAATATTTAAAAACATTTACTTTTTAAACGTCTCGTTAAGTAATTGCAATCATACCTACTCGGATAGGTATTTTCACCAAAGTTTAGAAATGATATGACTTCTACATAATGAAATAGCAGTCTGATTATAAAAAAAAAAAAGATTATTACCTACCTTTGCATCATTATTCTCTACTAATACCTCCTCTCCTATCCGTCCCCTCCTTTCCACTCCTCCCCTTCCCTTGCCCTAATCATTTCTATGTCTATGTCAAAAATAAGACTACAAGTTATTTTTCTATATTGTATCTTCCTCTAGTGATGCCAAAGAGTAAAAAATATATTATGAATTAAATAAGGACTCCCTTTTGCAATGCCAACAAAAAATTGTATCATATTATAAAAATATGAATTATTGCTGAAAAAATCAATTAATAGTATGTCTTAATAATGTAATGTAAAAATACACATTTCTACAGCTGAATCGGAAATAGGAAGTATATTTTTTGATTTGACACTATTTTAACGGTTAACAATATTGTCCAAGGTGATTTCTTTGTATAAAAAAAAACATCAAATGTATAGGAGAAAATTGCCAACATGTGTTTAAGTAGGTATTTCTTGTATCATTCGCGCACTGAAGTCAATAAATCACGTATTCGAATCGAAACATTTTAATGAAATTGAATTTGTCCGTCACAGATGTCTACAAAAGATTACCTCAAAATCATTAATCTTGGCTCTGGATTAGCGGTTGGAAATTTTCAAATAATATACGACATTTGGCCGCCACTCCGGTTATTGCGTTTCACGTTTTTTTTTTTTTTTAATGAGAAAATAAATAATAGATATTTGTACATTTTTTATAAAAAATTTGGAGACAAACTAAAATTAATTTACATTATTTCTTTATTTGCTGTAAAATCGATTGTATTGTACCTACCTAAATTAGGTACCTACATTATAACAATACAAGAGACTGTAGTATTAATAAACAGTTATTTTGAACCATTCAAAGTGTTAGAATAAAACGAATTATCTATTATTTGTTAGGTTATTTGTTATTCGCGAATAATTGTTTTCTATAATGTACCTATCATTTTATTTAAATTTCGCTAATTTCTGATTTAGATATGTAACTAAAAATGTAATGTAGCTATGCGAATTTATATGGTACCACCCTAATAGTATGGAGGAAACGAATTTATTTTTCAAAAAGCCAAAAGGGATGCCATAAGGCCATTACAGGGTTGTTTATGACAGAGTTAAATGATTTAAACGTGTGTCGTGATATAATGTAAGTATGATCATGTATAATAAACAAAGATAGTGACAATAAGAAATAAAAAGTTTAAATCAATTTAAATGAAATATTTCTGATTTAAAACAAAATAAATTATGTTTTTCTCTTATTCTTCGGTTTGTTGACTTCAGAAGAATCTACTTCATTTGCGTTCGAGGCGACCGAATGGACTTGCATGGGAATATGCATACACGAGGAAGTCTATGCATAGCACAGTACATACTATTTTATACGATATTAAATTCGCCGATATATCTGTCATTTCAACGGTAAGCGGTCGTTATTTTTTTGTTTAAATGAATTTAAAACCGCGTTATCGAAGCTAAAACCGAACAATATGATAATATAAAAAGAAATCGTATACGTCGTAACCAGAATTGTGCATTATTCGAATAAAAAAACATTATCTAAATAACATATTATTATTCAAGTATAAGTTACTCGAATGATTTAAAATAATAATAATTGGAAACATTTTTTTATCCTATCATTCCAAATATAATTCGAATAAGTTTTAACATATCATTTAAATAGTTTGTATATTGTGCTTTTTTTAAATAATCATATTTTAAAATATAATTTCGTATAGATAGGTACACTTACAAATTAAATAAAACCAGTATATACAATATGAACATTTTTTATTCGAATAAATTGTGGAAAAATGATTCGAATAAGAATTTGCACAACACTGGTCGTAATAATCAGCTTGGTTTTTTTTTTTTTACTTTTTTCATTAAATCTGCTCCGTTTGTCGTGTCGTGCTAGTATATTTTGCATGACGAACGATGTAATTTTGTTATTTATGTATATTTTTTTTTATCTCGTACGTTACAAAAACGCATACATATTCAATTGTCCAGGATTAATGGGTTTTATACGATCGCACGCGTGCACGAGGCAAGGCAGATGGTGTTGATATCTCTCCGGCTTGATAATCTACTAATAAGGTGTACGGCGGGCCGACGGCAGTGGGAAACAATTGCTAAGTGTATAATATATATATATACCTATGCATACATATGTATGCAGCCGTGGCCGTAAGATGGAAGAGAAAAAGATTGATGAAACTCTCTCGCTGGTGTGTACGTGCGTTAATGCTGACGTTTGTCTTAGGAGAGAAAAAAAGAAAATAGAAGAGGACCAAAGCCGTGCGAAAGGCAATGAAAATCGATATCAACACGCCGCGGCGGTCACATTGTTGTGGGAGGGAAAAAAATGATTACAACCATTCCTTAATTTATTGTGAAGCTGCGGGGCGGGCAAGGGTTCGAAAAACTTAAGCGTCGTTAAAAATTCATCGAGACGCCACGCTAAGGGCAACAAAGACTTTCGGGGGTGGGGAAATTCGAAATTAATCTATTATTGAGGAAAACTGACAATAGCAGCCGAGGCAATCAATCATTTGTATTTTCTTCCTCCTGTTGCTGTACACGCTGTCCCGGGGCAAGGCAAAAGTAGTATATAGACGCATTATTAATATACTTTACGGGCGGCCGAACGGTTCGCTTTTTTTTTTGAATTTATAATAAAAAAAATTAAGCCCGAGATGTTATGGCGATGAAAGGGTTTTATCTACGCAATGTCCACGGCCCTAATTATCACGACACCTATTCGTTTGATCAATTTTATAACGTCGAAATAAAAAATATGTCCTTAATGAACTATATTATTCTACTTAAAGTATAACAAAAACGATATCGACCGTCAGGAAAACTGCGATATTATCCAAGACTTAATAAAATTAATTATTTGTCCAATAACTAGGAAAAAAAATATAAAACATAATTGTATAGTATAACCAAGACATTTCTTTTTACCATTATAAAATTAGTTGTTTGTAATCAGTTGAATCTTTTTCTGAAAGATTTATATAGACGATAAGATTAATAAACTCTGATGATGTTTACACATTTTCATAACACCACAAATCTCGGGAAAGGGTTGAGATTAGAAAACCGAAGAAGTCATTTTTAACATGCATAATTACTAAAAAAAACAATTCTGATTAAAACGTTGCCAACTTATTTTGTCCAAATGTCTAATAATTGAGATATTAAAGTTATTATTATATACATACCTACCAATTGCAATCATTAAAATCAGATAATAATTAAAACTTATATATTGCTTAGGTTTGGTGGAGTTATACGTTCTATACATATAGTAATAATTTTTATAAATAATCAAATATAAAATCGGTTAAAAAAAACACTGTCTGACTAGTTTATACGTTTAGTTTTTTTTATCTCAATTTGCCGGTCTTAAGCTACCGCAACACTTTGTACTTTGAATATATTTCTCAGTAGATGGTACACTTTTTTACGGTGTAAAACAAAAACTTTTTAACCCTGTATCTCTCTTGTTTTTCTTATTACTCACTTCTATTTTAGTTTGGCATTTATAAACCGTAAAACCGTTAGCCCAAATTTACAAGTATCAAAGTAGAAATTATTTGTCTATACTATGCTCACAAAGTTGTTTGTGTTAGAATTTGACCACCTCGGAACAACTCACAAGTAAATACACCAAATGGCAAATACATAATAATTTACAAACTTGATTTAAGTAGATGAAATATATTCATAAACATGTCCTATTGTGGTTTAAAGGGGATATTATCCATTTAATATCTGGATGGTAAAATTATGCTAAGCCGATTAAGCGGTTAATTGTACACGGTTAGTTGTTACTTTTTATTGATTATTCTTTTTGTAAGAACTAGTTGATTTACATAAACATAAAAATGGTGTCAATATGTTTATATTATATATATTTGCCTCGTAAGAAAAACGTGTTGAGAATTTTTTCCATTATTAATTTTGCTAGTCAGTGGACAGTCCAATCGAACCTACTTGAATGAATGAATTAATACATAAAATAAAATATTTTATAAGACATAATAGCATAGAATTGAAATTTTCGATGTGCACCGGCTGTTCTGTGTGGGTTCGCTAAGTAAGGTTAATAAATAGATTCAGAGCGGATCATGACCGCTTGTGTTCTTCCTAAACACACAAAGGACATTTGTGATTAACGCCGCTACCTTTAATGTAAACATTAAAGTGTCCATAATAATTTCTTCGTGCTGATCAAGCGACAAGGGTTATTTTGCTCATTTCGGAAATTAATGCTCCGCGTCATCTCGACCCGCGAAACATTATTAAATCACGTAACTCTGATGTGATCCTATTAAATACCTATAAAATACTTTGTACAATAAAAGCAATTTTATCTTTTCCATTTTTTGGTTTGTTCAATTACAACTTAATTTTTATTTGAACGTTTAAAATAATATTGTGTTAAGCCTTTATTTAGTCTCCAAAGGGAAATGAGAGCGGACTGTTTGTTGTTCTTTTTGACGTTCCAAACCAAAATGCCTAAACATTTTTGGATACTTAGCTATGTTATGTATTGGAAAGAGATTTTTTTTTTATTTAACAAGTTCTATTTTAATAATAATAAATTTCAAATTTATCAAAAAAACGAAAAACGATTTTTAACATAACACACCAGAGGAGCCGACAAGTTTTCAT